GATGGGGTTTAGGTCTTCAAAGGAGTCCTGGGGAATGCTGAAGTTCTGTGGGCTTGGGAGTAGGACCCAAGGAAGCCAAAGCCAAGGACCAAAGGGAGAAGAGGACCCCCCCTTACTCCTGGGGATCCCCCACTTCTGCTCCCTTATTTCCCATGTTCGGATACCGACAGGAGACCAGAACTACACGCAGGAGATCAGAGCCGGCTGGACCACAGGGGTTCTGCTGACAAAGCATCTGGGATGGTTCTGGGGTGCAGAGGTGGGAGTTAGCCAGATACACGGGTGGACCCTGGCCTCAGAGGCAAGAGGTCTGGGCGCTGGTCCCCGCCCCACTGGAACTTATTCTGCGGCCTTGAAGGAGCATCTCACCATCTCAGAGGGGAGCTGGGCTCCCCCTGGTCTGAGGCCCTTCTGGTTCTGAGGCCGGGGATTGGTGCCATGGGCTTACTTTACTGTTTCTGTTTTTTTTTTTTTTTTTTCCTAATGAGTCTGTTCCCTGGTCTCCCTTCCTCATGCCCACGCCACGCCCCCACCCTCTTCTCTTTCTCTGAGCTGGTCGTGGCTGGGCTGCTCATTTGAAGACGGGGGTCTTCTGATCCCTGTGAACTCAGACCATGAAATCCTCATGACATCAAAGACGAGATAACGGGTCCATTTAGAGCAAACTGTCTGCGTGTTGCAGCTAGATTCTGAGGCTGAATGGGGTAGGGAATGGGGCGCACTGCTTATACTCGAGGCTGGCACACAGGAAACACACCACGGGAGCCTGTCTCTGCCAAGCTCATCCTTCCTAAGCCCTTCCGAAGCAGCTCACCCCCCACACCCCGTCCAAACCTCCCCATAAATACTGTGGTTGCTGCTTCCCAGTAGGCATCTCTCCAGGGGTCTGGCCTCTAGTCTTTCCCCTTCACTGGCAGCACCGCTCTCTCAGGCATCCACTGACACCCCAGCCCCATCGAGAGCCTGCCTTGTCCAGCTCTTCCAAGGGACCCCTGAGGCCGCTCTTCTGCCTCCGCTGGCTCCCCTCATGGTACAGTTCTGAGTCTCTCCCCATGGCCGGTGAGGCGGTCCCCTGGCCCTCCTGTATGTCCCCAAAGCTGGGTGTCTAAGGAGACTGAGAACCAGAGAAAATGGGCTGGAGAAAATGTAGCAGCAGGAAAGCCCCAGGCCTGATATCTGGAAGGGTTTATGCAGCCCCTGGGGTGGGCAGACAGGACAGGGGGAAGGAACAGGGAGGAGCTGGGAGCAGGACAGCACCGCTCACGCTCGGGACTACCCTTCCCACAGCAGGGTGCAGACAGGATGACTTCTGGCTCCGGGGAGTCCAGGGATCCTCCACGGGCAGGCCCATCTTCCAGGCTGAAAATCAGGATCTTGGCCTTTCTCTTGCGCGTCTCTGGGAAGCAGCAGGAACACAGTCCTCCGCCCCCTTTGGGGGAAAGAGGACAATTTATAGAATTGTTCTGCTGTTCTTAGCCCTCATTGAGACAAAAAATTCATTTCTGTCTCTCAGGGTGACTTCTCCCGCCGATGGTCATAAATTGCCTTCCTGCTCACTCTCTGACCTCTTGATCTTTCTGCTTTTGTGCTCAAAAAATTATTAATATTTCTCTTAACTCCATGTATAACCTTTGGCTGCTTCTCTCCCTTTTCTGGGTGAAGGTGTCCTCGGGGATTACTTCCTCCGCCTCCAGGCGCGCATGCATACCTCTGTCTGGGCAAGGCCCTGTGTCTGTGGACGGAGACCAAGCCGGCAGGAGGTAGGTTCGAATGTCCCTGCTTCGGGGAGCTCCCACAGAGAAAATAATCACAGCTAGCATTTCCTGCTCACTCTGTGCCTAGCACTAAGGGCTGGACGGAAGCGACCCACTTAAGCCTCACACCTCCCCCCACAGCAAGTGCTCCCGTCCCTGTTTTCAGATGAAGGAACCAAGGACAGGGAGGTCAGGTAAATAAGCTGTGGACGTCCCACAGAAAGTAAAGGACAGAACCTAGATGAGGTTCCATGTGCTTGGTTCTCAGCCTCTCTGCTGCCCCTCGGGTGGGAGGGGGGCTCCCCAACTTGCTCTCAGGAAATTGCAGACCCGAGAGGGGCATGAACAGCACTTGACCCCAAGCGGCCCCGAGTTTGATAGGGGAGGTGGATATTCTGTCCTGGGGAAGTATGTCTGGTCTGACAGAGAAGACACAGGCTTTGCCTTTGGGAGCGTCCCCCGACACTGGGGCCGCAGCCCCAGGAATGCTTCCAGTTTGATGAGGGTTCTGTGATTAGACTCTACCAGGCTCCGTTAATTTAATTAGAATTGTGAATGCCCCTGCAGGAGAGAGGAGAGTGGAGCAAAGTTAGGGGCATTGCAGGAGGGGAGGTGTCGCAGGACTGGCTCTCAGCAACACTGCTGGGGGGGCAGGTACACCCAGGCTTGCGGGGGGGCGATGCCTGGGGAGCTCAGTGGTTCTCAGCCCTGGCTGCCCATTAGGATTGCCTGGGGAGATGTTTAAAAATACCAGTGCTTGGGGCTTCGCCCTAGAACAAGCAGTCTTTGGAAGCGAGGCCAAGGCACTGGTGTTTTGAAAAAGTTTCTCAGGAGATTATGATCTGCAGCTGGTGTCGAGGATCGTGGGCCGGAGTAGGGGTCTTCAGCTCTGGAATCAGGGATGTCGAATGGCTCATGTGGAGGGGATTCTGGAGAAGTGTGTTTGCTACGTATGAATGGAGCTGGTAAGGACTTGAGATTAAAGAGAAGTGGGAAGAAAGTTAAGGGACTGGGAGAGACGGGGGTGGGTGGGGTGAGTGCTTCAGCTGTGGAGGCACTGGAGAAATTGGGTTCCTCTGCTGCTAGGGCTTCGAGGTAATAACGAGATAACTTTTGATAACCGAGTCCCCCTAACACTAAGAATCACCATCAAACCTGAACTGAAGCTGGAGGAAGGTGGGTAAGAAGCTCTAAGCTTAGAATATTCTCTTCCCTCACTTCTGGGCTTTTTCTTCTTAACATTATCCCAAATAACTATCACCATGGGCCTCACTTCCATGCACCTTTAAGCAGAGTAAGAAGGAGAAAAGGCAGTCTCACTGATACACCAAGAACACCTCTACCTCAGGGCCTTTGCACTGGCTGTTGTCACCTACCTGCTCTTTTTCCCCTTCAGGTACCCGAATCCCTCAGTTCCTTCAGGTCCCTGCTCAAATGGTGCTTTGGCAGAGCACTTTTCCCTTATTATTCTTGTCTCTCACAGCATCTACCGCAACGTGGTATATTTTATATACATTTGTATAGAGAGAGGCCGTAAATACTCCTCTTCCTCCCCTCCAGAATGGAACAGGAGGAAAGAGGGACTTATCCTCTTTAAAAATTTTTTCATTGTTGTATCTCCAAGGCCTAGAATTGCGAGTGCAGCACAAGCAGACACTAAAGAAATATCTGTGGAATGCATGATTAATGAGCGTGTAAATGAAAAGCCCTTATGTGTCCGTGCTGTGTGCGGCTGTGCGAATGTGTTCGTGATTATATTCCTCCTTCTCCGGGCTGCCTCTGGCTCTCTCCTCTTAAGCCGTGCGCTTGCCTGTGCACACGTGTGTTCGCACGTGTGAAGGACCCCCGGGTCTGTGCACGGCATGCTTCTGAACAGGAGCTCCTGTGTGTCTCAGCCCGCGTACCTGCGCCCTCCGGTTGCGCGCTGGGTCTGGACCATCCCCCCAGCCCCCCGCCCCGTGTCAGATTCCGCGGAAAAACAGCCTCTCACCAGCAGGGGGCCCCAGAGAGCCGCGCGCCCGACCGCGAGGACCGGCCGCGAGAATTCTCGGCGGGGAGTGTTAGGGACCCCGGAGACCGAGGAGCTGGTGGCAGTAGAGGCCTCTCTAGACCCACCGAGTCCTGCGAAGTTGTGCAAGTCTGTGATTTCTCCTCCGCTCATCCCCTGGGACTCCAGGCACCCCCAGCGACAGCGTGAGCAGAAGCATCTGGTCCGCGTTGGGAGGGGGCCCGGTGGCCAAGCTGGGCTCTTAGGACGGGCAGACCCCAGCCATGCCCCTGCTGCTCTCGCCAGGAACTCCCTCCCGTCCCAGTGCCCACATCTCTCAACCCCACAGGATCTCAGACTCCTCGGCGCTTAGAGATCCTCCCGTGGCCGCCCTCCCCTTGGCCCTTCCCCGCAGCGGAGTTGGCTACTTTCTCCTCCTGGACGGTACCACCCAGGATGAACAAAGGCAGGAGGCCAGGGCTCCCCTTCCCGGCGGGCTGCGGGCTGCGACAGCTGGCCTGGCCCCACTGTGTGGCCCGGGCAGGGGCTCCAGGCGGCTCCGAGAAGCCTTTCGCAGTGCCCAGCCCCGGATTTTGTAGGTGGGGAGAGTCCCGCATCGCATCCCCGCCCCAGCGTTCAGTCATCCACCGAGAATTCCCAATTTCGGGAATCTAGGGGTTAGATTCTGGGTGTGGGATTAACAAGAAAACAAAACAAAACAAAACAAAAAACCCAAACCAGGGATTTTGTGCTTTTTGATTCCAAGACCCCACCACCTGCCCACCGCGCCCCCCCGCCCCCCGCCAACCCCCCCCCCCCACCCGCAAACACACACAGGAGCTCTCACGCTGCCTCCCCATCCCCGCCATGCCCCGGCCCAGGGGCAGGTCCTCGCCCCGCCGCCCCCACAACCCGCCGCCCCCTCGGCAGCGCGGGCCCCAAGCTGCGTGTGACGGGCGGGCGCGTGGCCGCTCCTTGGTCCCCCCGGGTCCCGCGCTGCCGGCATCTTAGTCCGGCGAGGGGTGTGCGTGCGCGCCGGGGGCCCGAGGGCCGAGGGAGGGCTGGGGGAGGAGACGTCAGGAGGGGCGGGGAGGGAGGGGAGGGGAGGGGAGGGCCCGGAGGAGCGGAGGGCGGAAGAGCCCGGGAGAGCGCGAGCTGGGCGAGCGGCAGCACCGGGCGGGAGAGGGCCGGGCCGGGGCGAGGGCGGGACCGCGGGGGCCGGGGCGGCCCGGAGGGCGGGGGCCGCGGCTGGGGGCCGAGAGCGCAGGAGAGCTCAGGGCAGGGAAGTGAGTTTGTGCGCGCGGGGGTGCGCGCGTGCGAGAGTGTGTGTGCGTGTGCACGCGCGTGTGCAGGGCCGGGGGCGGGCTCCGGCCCCGCTCCCTCCTCCCGCCCGCGCCCCGCGCTCGGTCGCCAACTCGGGGCCCCGGCGCGGCGGGCGGCGGGCAGCATGCTGAGCCTCCTCGTCTGGATCCTCACTCTCTCCGACACTTTCTCCCAAGGTAAGCCCGGCCGCCTGCCCTCGCCGCCCCTCCCGGCAGGCAGCCCGCACCCCGGGCGCGGGCCCGACTTTCCCGCGGATGCGCCCAAGTTGTCCCCGGCCGCGAGCGTGGGGGCCGGGCCGTCGCGGGACCCGAACGCGCCCACGGCGCCCCCCGGAGCCTCTGGCAGCCTCCCCGCTGCTGCCCGCCGAGGCCTGGAGTCCGCACGCCCGGGTCCTGCGGGAGGGGGGACGCGAGGGTGGCTAGGGCTGGGAGGAGGGTGGGATTTCAGGTTCGGGGTGGGAGGTGCGCGGAAAGCTGGGGACCCGGTCCCGAAGATCCCGCGGAGGGAATCCCAGCTCCAGCCCAGGCCCTGCTGGGGGCGGGGGGCGCTCCCTCCCGCCTGGGCCGCCCCCTCTGGAAACGGGGAGGGCCGCCTGGGGGCCTCTGGCTGGACCGCTGCTCGCGGAGGCGCGGGCGGGGGAGTGGACTTCCACAGGCAGCTTCGGGCCGGCTCGATATTCAGGGGGGCACTTGGAGGGGGGATTCACATCCCGCTTGGGGGCGGGAAAGTGTGGATGTTGGGGCATATTTGGAACTGGCAGGGGAGAAGCTGGGAAATGAGGGAGAGGTTGAGAGAGATGAAGACGTTAGTGTCTCCTGAGGCTGGGGGTTGGGGGTGGGGAGCTGGGGAGACCGAGGGCCCAGGCTTCAGCCAGCGCCGGGCTCCGTGGGTGTGCATTCTGGTCTCCTGGGTCTCACTCGAGGGAAGAGTTAATCCTGCCGAGCTAGCCGCCCCCTTCCAAAAATGGAGCTGACACACAAACACCAAAAAACAGTCATAGACAGGGAGACAGACGACTCACCTACTGAGACAGATAGACCCACAAGCATCCCCAAACGGAGACAGACACATACACACAAAGGCACTGACACCCCGAGGAACACAGACTCCTCCCCCGCCTCGGCTTGCACGTTCCTGCGCCCAAACACATCAAAACTCACCCAGACACAGGGCATGGATGCAGGCGGGCATTTACAAGGACGCGACACACACACACACACACACACACACACACACAGTGAAACCCTTCTACGGAGACCAACCCTCCAGCAAACAAAGAAACTTGAGCAGACGTTCATATAGGCAGACACCTATGGAGGTGGACAGACTGCATCATGGAGGAGGTGGTCTCCTTTTCTGTGGAGGGGAATCTGGTGGAGGGAAGTCTGCTTGGGTAGAAACCCTCAGACATTGCCCTGTTCTTAATTCCCTTCCCTTCCGGGGCTGGGGAGTGTGTGTGTGTGTGTGTGTGTGTGTGTGTGTTTAGGGGTGGGGTGTTGTGCTGGACCCCTCCTCTCTTTACCATGCCCCTCCCCAGCTCTCAAGGCAAAGCCTGGCTGAGTTGGTGGGGGGCTGGTCTTGATCTTTCTTTCCTGGAAAGGCACCCAAGCCCCTAACACAAGCTTAAGATCTGGGAAGGGTGTGCATCCCGTGTGAGTGGTGTGGGAGGCGGTGCTGGGGAAGGAGGCCTGGCCCTGGGGTTGGCAGGCCAAGCAGCAGCTTGGCAGAAAGTTGGGAAGAGGACTCAAGTTTTGACTTTGTTCGCCTGGCTGCTGGGGGGGGGGATGAGGGGGGCGCTGGGTCATTATCAGCGTGTGTTGGGGGCAAGCTTAGGTCTGTCCCTTTCCTGGAGCCCTGGCATGTCAGCAATATGGAACAAAATGAGCTTCAAGGAACAAAAGCTGCAGTTAGCAAACAGGAGAGACATGCGGCTTGAATCTGGAGCAAAAAACGGTCAGGAGAGGAGTGTGCTGTGTGCCGTCCTCCCTTTGGGAAGGGGGAGGGTCGGTGAGCCAGGCTTCCACCTCCCTGCCTCCCAAGGGGCTGAGAGCAAGACCAGAGACCCGATGGAGTGTGCAAAGTATTTGGGTGGGGGAGGGGTGCCAAAGGAAAGGAAGGGGGAAAATGGATGGGGAGGGGAGGAAAGAGGAAGTCCCTGCCAAGGTTCCAGGGAGGGACTGGGGAGCCGGCAGGGACAGAGGAAGCAGGGGACCTAGGGAGGCTGGGAGACTCACAGGGTGGGTGACCTCTCCTTGGCCTCCATCCTTAGAAAGAGAGAGTTTCAGGTGGGACTGGGGTAGTGGGAGAGGAAAAGGGGGAGGGGGTGTGGCAGCAGGGGGGGAGCTGTTGGTGGGGAGAAGGGGAGAAGGTGGCAGAAGGCAGTCAAATTGAGGGGGGCAGAGGGAAGGGGGAAAGAGAGATTCAGCCCAGGCAGAGAAATAAAAATCGCGTTTTAAAGAATTTCAATGGGCTTCATCAATCTTCATTTTTCACTAAATAATTTTCTGTATCTTATCTAAATGAAAACCATTATCCTTCCCCCCGTTTCCATCATGCGCCGGCTCCTCAGACTGATTGCGCCGAAAATTGAAATATTTATTCATTTTCTGGGAGATTTTCTCTCTCCCCAGTCTCTGGGAGGAGAAATTGAAAAAGAAAGATTATAGCTAATCAGAGCAATGTGGGATGACAGGCTGGCTCAGGGCGGGAGCTGCCTCTGGGGGATGGAGCTGGGGGTAGGGGAAAATCTGTCCCTCCAGCCCCCAGAGGTCCCTAGCTACCCCTGCCACAGCTTAGCTGGGGTGAGGAGCCAAAGGAAGAGTCAAGAACCTCCTAAATTCCCAGGACTCGGCTGCCTGAGTACAGCTCCGTCCTGGCTGGGAACAGGAGTGTGGAAGGACCAGTAGTGGGGGACCTGCTCTCTCCTCCCCCTTGCACATGGGCTGCAGATGACCCCCCACCCCAACCTGTGCCCACCCAGCCTAGAGCAGGCCTGGAGGCTGGGGAAGAGGCTGGGGAGACATGGCACAGATCAGGATGGCAGGTTGCCCTCTGACCTTGACGGGGCTCCAGCTTCCCCTCAGAGCTGAAGGGAGCCTGAGCTCACTGCTCCGTGGGCATTACTCTCAGACCCCAGAGGATCTTGGATCCCAAGGAGGAGGCCTGGAGGCCTTTGCTCCCACCTTAGGCTGGTTATCAGGCTGCTGGCCTGGGGGTGTCTTGCTCTGCCTTGGGTTCTCCGGTGGGGTGGGGACCAGGAAGCCAGCACTGTCTGGCTCTCACCCTTCGCCTTGAGAGCCCGGAGCCCTGACCTCTGGTGGAGGCTCTTCTGGCCTCTGTACCGTTGGGGACCAGGTCTTGGTTTCTCCTCCACCCCCTCAGTCTCTGACACCAGCGCTACGTGCTCGGTGAGTGCCCTTGACTCTGATCAATTGATTGGTTTGATGTAAGCGCTAGAGTGTGGGAAAGGCCTCAGGCTAGTCCATCCCTGGTGACACCCCCTCAGTCACTTGGTAGACATGTCATGTCAGCTTGAGCGAGGCAGGCACCTTCTCTGGGCCTCACTCTGCTCGCCTGGACAGCGAGGATAGAAATCGTACCTCCCAGGGTTGTGATGGCAATGGAATGTGCTGTGTGCTGAGTCCATGGACTGGTGTCTGGCACGAGAGGGGCCCGGCCGCGCTTGCCCTCAGGACCTGGAGCTGCACGTGGAGGGCGGCAGGCCGCTGTCTGTGTCTTCCTGCTGCTGCTCCATCCTCGCCTCCGGCTGCTCCATGTCTCGTCCTGGTCTTCAGCACCTCCTCAGGGACCTCTCCTAGAGAGCACTGGGTCTTGGCAGACCCAGGAGGGAAACGGAGCAGCCCCTGTGGGCTGGAGAGCTCAGGAGCTCTGGGGCTGGGAGGAAAGCATAGTCGAAGAGGCTGGCATTACAGGGAGAAGGATCCGGGCCTCTTGCAGGCAGTGAGGAGGCGACACTGGTCTGAGGTGGCTGCCTTCCTGAGGCTGGAAATAACACAGATCATTTATGGAGCCCTAGTGCTAACTACTTCTTATCGCATTAGCTAGTTTAATCTGTGCGACAGGCCCCGAGATCAGCTCTGTAATTGTCCCCTTTCATGGATGAGGAATTGAGTTTTAGATAGGTTAAATATCTCGCTGGTAGTTGTGGAAACCAACGGACCTCAAAGGCTGCACACACACACACCCTCCCCTTACCCCACGCCCCCACCTGCCCTGTCCAGGGACCCCACATGCTCCCAGGGACTGATGCCTCACTGGGACAGATCTTTCCTGGTCCAGAGTGGGATGGGAACTAGGGAGAAAAGGGAGTGAGCAGCATCCCGTAAAGGTAAACTCATTCACATTTTTTTTAAGATTTTATTTATTTATTTGACAGAGATCACAAGTAGGCAGAGAGGCAGGCAGAGAGAGAGAGGAGGAAGCAGGCTCCCCGCTGAGCAGAGAGCCCGATGCGGGGCTGGATCCCAGGACCCCGGGATTATGACCTGAGCCGAAGGCAGAGGCTTTAACCCACAGAGTCACCCAGGCGCCCCTCATTCACATTTTCAAAACAATCCTTTATTCCACAATTCTGTCCTTCTACATTTCTTTTTAGCATTGGATGGTTTTTCTTGGATGGTGTGATGGTGCTCCTAAGTGGCTTTTCTTTAAAGGACTGTGCTTGGCAAATAGAAACAGTTGCAACCCTGCGTTGTGGCTAATACTGAACACGGACTTACGGGTCCCTGAACCGCACATTTGGGAACTGCACGCAAGGCTGACTTCTGGAGCAGCCAGAGCAGACAGGCAAGACTTGAGCACCGGGCGGTGGGTCACTTCCAAGCCAGGCCCTTCCTGGCAGACAAAGAGGCTGGGGGCTCGGGCAGCCTGTTCCAGAGATGCTCTGCCTGGTCAAGCGTGGGCGAGGAGTGCTCGTGGGAGGTGGATTCCACACCCAAACATCAGATTACTTTATATTGAATTCCTACTGTGTGCTTCCCGCATTCCTACTGTGTGCTTTTCATATCATCTCTTATCCCTTTTAATGGCCTTGTGAAGTAAATCCTTCCTCCTCATTTTATAGATAAGGAACCCAAAGCTGAGTTTAATTGACTTGTTCAAGGCTGTACCTGGGGTGTTAGATCCCAGATTAAAACTCGCTTTGTGTGGCTGCACA